TTACGCCGTCGATATGCGTTTCACGCCGAGCAGCGACCGCACTGTGTTAGGCGCAATGCGTGAAGTATTCGTGCACTCTTGTAGGCGCTGCGCGAACCAGCGATCGCGCTGTACGTTAGGTGCAATGCGTGAAGTATTCCTGCAGTCTTGTAGGCGCTCGTATGCGTTTGGCTCCGACTGATGACCGCACTATATTTGGCGTAATGCTTGAAGTATTTCTACAGTCTTGTAGGCGCTAAAATGCGACAGACCGCCGCCCAGCGACGCCCAGCCCTTCTCTATGCGAAGAAAATTCTGCAAAAACTTCAAGAAATGATGTCGATTTGTTCTCCTTTAAAAAAAAAACATAGAGGCGGACATTTTCAGACACCGCAAACGAGATATGTGATTGCGGACTTACGCCGTCGATGTGTCCTCGAATAATTGTTTATTTTACGAACCAAGGGTATCCTCGTGTTCAATTCACAATGCAGTCTCCACTTGAACACGAAATTCATCCAGACATGCTAATTCATAATTCTCCATTCTGAAATTCGGCAACCCCGCTCTAGGGATTGCGGGGGTTCGTTCGTCTCGCGGCAGTAGAGACACGGAGGCAGCGGCAACGGTGTTGGTTAAGTTCATACTCTCTGGCTGCTCATCGTAGTCGCGGGGAACTTCTTAGTTGTGCCCTGGTGGAACCAATTTACGATTATTGGCACTAATACAATTTATACGCTCTGCCCACCCGCACCCACCGCCACCACCCGGCACCCGGCTCACGCGCCTATGCTCACCCCCAACCCCGAGCGAGCGTCTCTACCTTGTCTTGCCCCGTTCCCTCCCCCTCCCCCTCCGCCCTCTCCCGCGTTTTTCATTACCTTAGATTAGGTCCAGGCTTCGCGCGCGGATGTCGAAGCTGATAAGATGCGCTCGCGCCCTCCTTCCCGATATACTACCCCCAAGCCTCCAGTTTTCACGGGACCGTAGACTGATTAAGGTGAATCTTCAGCTGTAGTTCCGAAAAAATCCACCACATCGCGCTGCTAAAACCCGGCTCCGAAATCGGTGATTATTTAAATATCACGATAGATATATTAAATTCTAAGACTCGTAAGTTCTAGCAGCATACGTCTGGAATGCTTGGAAATAAACGCGAGCGTTTAAAGTTTAATAATAAAAGCTATAACTTGATCCCACTTTCTCTCATGAGGTATCCATAAGTGCGAGAGAGATAGCTCACGGTGGGAGAAAGATATCTGTGACTGCTGAGAGCGATCAATCGCGATTGGTTGCACCAAGGTCATCATGCTTAACCCTTCTTTTTTCAGGGATCAAGTTTCAGAGCTTCAGAAATGACTTTTCACGTCTTTTTTAGGGTCAATAGGAAGAAGTATGTTATGGCTAGAACTTATGACTCTTCGATTTAAACAGAAATTCCTCTAAATTTCTTCAAAGCTCAAGGACTCACGTGGGGCTGTACGGACTCTTACAGCGTGGACCAAAAAATCAAAACACAGCGGTGGCGCTCCCTCCCTGCGCGGAAAAATTTCTCACCACGCACCGCTGTAGATTCACCTCAAGTGACTACGTCATTCGATAAAATATTCAACTCAGTGGTTCTAACCAAAAAAATAAAAATAAATGTAACATAACCTCGTGTGCAAACTCTGTGTGAGTCAATGCGTCAGTTGCGCTGGTCACAGAATCGTGTTTTGATGCTTGATTCTTGTAGATTAACAGCAACTTTCTACGTTCAATATTAACGAAGATATCGACCTCTGAAAAGTAGGGCTTTTGGCGTCATCCACCGCGGTAGTGACACCCTTGGTTTCTTCTACCTTGCTTTCATCAGTCAGTGCGACGCACATTTGCACTGGTTACTGAAAGTGAAAATCGGATGAAAGCAAGACGGAAGAAACCCAGGTTGTCACTACCGCGGTGGATGACGTCAAAAGCCCGACTTTTCAGAGGTCGAGATTTCGGTTAATATTTAACGTATAAAGTTGCTGTTTGGAAGATCTTATTATTTATAGTTAATATACAAGAATCAAGCATTCCAAAACACGATTCTGTGACCAGCACAACTGACCCATTGTGTGAATTTATCACATTTAAGCCATGGACAGGTCATAAATCAATTAAGGACTTATTCAGGAGGCAGGACTTTTGGGCGAGGAATGCGTCTTCACGACGAGTGGAAAACAGCTCAAAAATAGATATTAAGGGATTTTTTTATTGAAATCTGTGAAAGTGGCAACTGGCAACACCGAACGACATATAGAAATTTTGATCAAATCGGCCTATTTATAATCGATTTGTTTTAAGCTAGGGGCAACTTCTTTGCATTATGTTGCATTATCAAGATGTAACGAACGCCTTACGTTGCATCATCAAGATGTAAATCAAGACATGGTGTAAGGCCTTGTCTACACGAACGTAGATTGGGCGAATTAGTTCCATGAATTCAGCTTTCGCGGAAAAAGTTATTAGTAAGTATTTTCAAGTATTTCAAGTTCCGGGAACAAGTTCACCCAAAGCTCCTCGAATTGTGTGTTGCGCTCGAACCTTACTTCGAATATTCTGTGATTGTTCTATGCTTCGCACATCATTCAAATTCCGAGTTTATCTTTCGGAAAGCATCTCTGTTTGTTAGAATAGCGTTAAAAGTCTGTGCGACAGGAGCGTCCTAATAATTGACCGAAATAGACCTCACGCTCGAGGAAAACACAAATTGCACCCGTGCCCTATCGCGAAAGCCATAGGAACATCCCATATGTATTTCGCCCGCAAAATCGAGCGTATGCAACCCGGCCCACTCCGGAGTTCAAATAGTTGCATGTTGGGTTCGAACCCAACTTCGAATATTCTGCCATTGTTTTATGCTTCGCGCATCATTCAAATTCCGAGTTTATCTTTCGGAAAGGCATCTCAGTCGGTTTATATCGCGTTATTTTCTTTGTAATGTTTTTTTTTCCTGTTAATTTCTTGCTGAATTGAATTTCCTCCAACTTTCTCGATACCTCTATCAAGCTGACATTGACAGAAATCACCGGTGGTTGGACCGTAGAGAGTCGGACCCTTCCTTAGTTGCTACAAATAAAAACAAAACCTTGGCTTAAACATTAATCCCTTCAGGATCTCAATTTCCAAGTGATGCAAGACAAATTTCTCAGTGAACATTAAAAACTAAATATGCTCTGCGATGGACTGGGTCACTGGGTTTCTCTCCCGCGGAGAAAGGTGATAGAATAGCGGATATTACGAGTTGCAATTATTCAAGGCTCTCCCATGTTTGAACTGGTCATCATTTCTTCCCTTTGCTCTGTTTAATAAAGTGTTTAAGAAGTCAAAGTTTGCACTGGATACCTAAACCCGCTAGAAACAAGCGCCAACATGAATGTCTCTTTCCCGTTAAACACACGCGTGTGACATAAGGCTGGATCGTAGATGTGATGAAAGGAATTGACCCTGCCTGAAGATTAGTCACCCCTGAACGAGTCTCGAATGAATCAGAGCTCAAGTTAAGACATGCCACCGCACAGTGATCCAATCAACTCCGGGATGCCAATGAATCAATAAAGAGAGCAAAAATTACTATTCTCTCTGACTTTTGAATGAAAACGAAGTGCCTGTCAGAATTTTTTAGTAAATTTGTGTATGTATGAAGCAAGAACTACCTAAGAAAATGTCGAATTTTCAGGAACAAAGCTGTGAGTGTGCTCGCAATAGCCTGTATCCGTCATGGGCTTATCAGGCGAGCTATCTCGTCAATTATTCTTTTCGCTCAGATTACTCATCTTAAATAAGATGAGTGAATAAAAGTGAGCAGAACTTGGGACTTTCTTGTGGGAGGCTAAAGGGCACTTCATCATGCGTGTCTGGGATCACTAAAAGATTCCCCCCCCCCCCCCAAGGTGGATCTGCAGGACTCCCCCATTTTTGAAGGAGGATCGAGGGGTTGTATGTAGTTCTGAAGGGGGACCGGGAGGGTAGGTACCCCCAGAAAAGTTTGGAAATCAAATCGCCTCAGATTAATAGAAATTATCTGCTATCTTTAGTTTATAATTATCCATCTCTAACCCATCTGGTGCACCTGCATCATTTGGTTTTTACACCACCAGCACAGACGACCGCATCCAGAATTCTGAGTCGGGTCGAAAAGTGGATGGATGCAAACGTTGGCCGAAATTCATCGAACAATCAACCAAGTTTAGTTCTTTACTTCAACAAAGCGTTTTTCTAATTCGAGCTGCAACCCTGCGGAACTGGTCGAAAAAGTTGACCAAATCGACCCGCGGAAATTCGCTTAGACACCCAGTCCCAAGAAAACGCGGCAGAGATACAATTTGTAAAAGAAAATTTTCTTCAGCTTCATTCCAGTGACAGCCATTACATTCATCGGAGGGTAGAGGCATAGTGAAAAAAAAGGTGTTAGCATTTCGGGCATCTTGGAATTTTTTTGATGACGTAGGTCGGCACGGCGACTTTCATCATCGATTCTCTTGGAAATGGTGTAGTATATGGAAAAAATGCATTCTACATGAAATGTTTGAAATTATATCATGAGTTGATTTAAGCAAAAAAAATCGGACGTTATGGCCCGTTTTTCATACTTCGAATTCCGGACTTTGCTGACTACATCGTACCGACCTACGTCACGGCGTACACAATCCTCAAGATGCAAACACCTCCTTTTTTTCTCTCTATGGGGTAGAGGGGGGGCGGAGGGTGGTCCAAATTTTTTTCGCAGTCGACCCACCGTGAGGAGAAGGTCGCGCTCACATCCCTGTTCCAGAGTCACAGTTGAGAGCCAAAGATATTCGGTGATTCGGCGCGAAAAAAGCGAGGATTTCATTCGGCGGCCCTGCCGTTTGATGGATGAGCGGCAGGGGGGTGNGGGGCCCGGAGGGCGGGGGGAGTGAGCCCGCGGGTGCGCGCCACTGCGCATGCGTGGCCCTTGAGACATAACATCTGGTTTAAATATGTCCCGGCGAGAGGGTCTAGTGTGTGAACTGCGGTCTGGGAAGCCACTTGGGCGAATCGCAGCCGAGCGACGCCGCTCCGGGCTCCGGCGGCCGCTAGCCCAGATTTTCCCTCTAGTGCTCGTCATAGTTCCTGGCGCTCGGCTCTCTCATTTCCAGTTCGGGAGCCGGGAGTCGTTCACGTCGCGGGATGTGTCGCCGCAGCCGGCCGGCCGCTATTTATGAACCGCGCCTTGTGCAAGTTGTTAATTAATTTTAGACGCGGCTTTTCGTCCCGATTCGTAATCGCGGGTTTTTTGTGGTGAAAGATTCGCCTCGTGCCTCCGCTCTTACGCGCGGACTCGTGTCGCTTCGGTATGTGCCCCCAAGAAGTGATTTTCCCGCCCAAAAGCAGGTGAGCTACTTTCGTCAAAATACTTTTTTTTATAACTTCTCCTCGGTGTCTTTTCCATGTTCCGTCTACGATATCATTCATGTCGCCCACATTGAATCTCTCAGCTCAAAAACGACTCAACTCGTTTTTTTATGATGCTCATCTTTTTGCGTGGAATCACGCCCTCTCTGGCTGTAAAGCAGTTTTTATCGTCTCCTGAGAAAAATGTATTTTTTCGAGATGGGTCGTATTCGAACCGAGAGATTCAATTTCTAAATGCGCATTGTCAAACTTTTCTTCGAAGGTCACCATAATAAGCCGTACTTGTTGCGCTCTCAGAAAAGCCCAGTACAATGAACACGAATAACCGCACGCTGAAGTAGCCTTTCTAAATCATAGTAGATTTTTCAATTCCTTCTCAGGAAACTTGTGAAAATGTGTCCCTTTCGAAACGCAACACTACAGCATTTTTGGAGTCGATTTCCGAAGTATTGAGCATTGAAACAACCCATTTTAAACGGGCTATTGTTTAGTCAGTTTTTTTTACCAATTTCATATTAGCAGGCCCTGCTCTATTCGTGGCACTAACGGATGAATACTTTACTCACGTTGTTTTTTACTCGTTCAACCCAATTCGCCTTCAATATCTCGATAGGCAATGTGAGCGGCTCGGGAGCAGTAATAGTTGCTCATCGCATTTTAGCCACGTTCACTCGGTACGTTCACAACCGTAGCGGTTTCATACTTCTCTCCCATTGTTTCTCACTCGCTAAGATCATCAGTTTGCCTCCAATATCTCGTTAGGCAATGTAAGCGACTTGGGAACAGCAATAGTCGCTTGCAGCAGTTCTGTCATATTTTTCTTTGGTATCGAGCATAGCATCAGCGGAATAATGTAACCGTCTTCTTACAATATTAATCACCTATTCCGATGAAATTACCTTCCATAATTTGTTTAGATGATGTAAGAGGCAGGGAATAAGAATTGCATAGAACGAGTTCCTCAGAATCTTCTGCGGGCACCAGCAGATTCTTAGGAGGCGATCGCCCCTAGCTTCCTAAGCCAGCCCGCCCCTGCATGCGGCCGTGCTAAGGAGGAACACCGTATGTGCCATCAGACGTCGCCATATTTCCTTCGATAAAAATAGATTTTACCAGGTGAAGTGTGAATATTTTCAGGCACTCTTACAGACCCTACTGTGGCTTCGGTGTCAGTCTCACGAGGTACCAGTCATCCGCCACTCCACTGATTGAGATAGTTCTGATCGATGTCAGTTAATTAAAGAAAATAATAATACCAGAGCTTATATTACTGCGTTGCCATATCAGTCAACTTTTAAGTAGGTAGCAGTATCTCTCCTCAACTTCTACAGCTTTTCGATGCTCTGAAAATTAAAGCGGCACGGTTTTTCAAGAACCACGTGTACCCGCGTAAGGTTGCGATGCTGAACGCATACCATATTTCAACCTCTGAAAGTCACTATACTTCGCTAAATAGTTGACCTAAACGCTAAATTTAGTGAGCTAAAAAGTAGATTTTAGGCTCGACCAGCGGTAGAAAGTGCTTTTCGTAAAATTGTAAGCCGGCAAGGATTGTCTGGATCGGAAATCGGAGGAAAACTAGGTGAGAATAGGTCGTGTAACTCATGTATGCGATGAAAAGTTGTCGCGAAGGAAGTCGTCGGATGATCCGAGGTAGCGTGAATACCTCGATTAGTCTGAACTGCCCTTAATGTAGGTCCGTGAAGCTGAAGCTACGGCTGGAACGCTTTCAAGGCGCGTCGCCGTGGAAGGGATGAAAAGCCGAGAGAGTGTTTTTCAAAGATAAGTCCCGATTTCCCTCCCTCACCACCGCCTCCCATTCCTCCTCACCCCTCCCTCTCTCATCGCTAGGGTTGAACTCGATATGGTATATGATGAGGATTTTTCAGCAATTAAAGTGTTCAACCTCTACGTTTCGCTTCTATTGCCAATGAAATTTGATTTTACCCAATTAAGCGTACATAATCAAGGATTTTGTCGGGCGGTGCTAAGCCTCGTGTACTTAGATCCTAACCTCATGAGCATCATATTAATTTTCACCTAATCTTGAGGAAATGCATAATTTCCTCGAAACAGGAGGAGGAAAGCACTAACAACCTAAAGTGTGGAATGCAAGAATCTAAAAGTCAGTCACTCGCAGACGAGTAATGCTCTGAATCTTACGTAAATGTTCAGATTATACACAAATGTTTGGTTCGTTCGTGTGATAAAAAGGCTGATAAGAGATTAGTGGTATCGTTCGGTTAATACCTCAGCAGGGGCACATTTTAGTCGGGGTTCAAAGGCTACGATACGCCTTTCTTTGATCATGGCAATGTGTGTATTTTACAGTGATTTTTGTCGTATCTCAAGTTATCGATGCTCCCTTTTGTTTTACTCAGTAGGATTGGATTGTTACTTATACTTCTCAGGCAACTTCTTCTCTCTGTTATTGCGGAGGTTTATTTAATTTTCCCACTGAAACCAATGTGAACCACGCTAGGCATATCGATTGTGAAATTTCATCACACAGAAGCTGGCACGAGGTACACTGGTACAGGTACACGTGGAATTAGCGCCAAGATACGTGGTATTCAAATTCCATTTTTGGGTAACTTCCCGACTTTTTGAGGTAAAATATTTTAATGATCGGTAGACAAAAGACGCTTTTGACAGCTCATTGATGCAGCTAACTTAAAACCGTCAAAAATGTCGTTTTATGGAAGTTCGGTAGTTTCACCATCGATGTTTGATTCGAAGAATGCGACAATATTATTCAAGAGATTGATTAATGAACACGCCGCCAATATTGCTCAATAAAAGCTCTGTGTTCTGAAGAAGTTTTTTTGGAAGTAACGTATGTGTCTCAGGGAAAGTAGAATCGGATTAAACCCTTGTATTTAAGTCTGAACAAGCTAAGAACCTAAGACCTGAGACGGCCCAGAAAGGGCTGTCACTCATGCCGCAATTTTATTTTCGGCAACATTGATCTTTCACACTTATTAATTTCTGCAAGTCAGCTTTCGACTTGGCTTAATCGATGCCTTGCGAAAGTTTTTTTCCTCTCGCTTCTCTCTCGTGATCCTATTTTCCCCAAGACACCCCCTCCCGCCCCTTGGAACCCCCTTCAACCTTTTCCAACTTGGTCGCTGAAGGCGTTCTTCTTGGCTGACTCAAGCGAGTTTTCCGCGAGTTAGTCTCAAAGAGAGAAAGTTCCTATGTGCAAGAGCTTTCACTTCTCGTGCCCTCGATTCGCAACCCCCTGCAGCTCCGAGTGCCATACCACCCGCGCCGGAAATTCTGCGTTGATTTTGCAAGAGCTTTTAGCTCGCCTTAACAAAGCTTCTCACAAGTGTAGAACACTTTGCGCTCCGGCGGTGGGGCTCTCTATACCCGCGTTTATGCGATACTCGAAACTTAAATTTCAAGAACAGGCATGTTCTACTCGACGGAAACCTATATTTCATAGTGTTGAAACACGTATTCGAGGAATCCAAGGCCACACTACCTGGAAGCCGGTTCGTTGTACAGCTTGAATAATGCAGAATCCGTCCGCCACCAATGACGTGGGTGAAACCAATCAATCGAATAAGCAAATCATCATGTAGTTCACACGTCACGAGCAGCAGTGCATCGACCCAAGTTGCATTCTTCAACGGAAAAATTTATGCAATTCATCACAATTTTATATCCGATAATATTGCGATAAATCGACGGCGATAAAATCGCGATACCTTTCTTCGATCGAATCGCAATTTATCGCGATTGCTGCTATTTACGGCGCCCCCTCACCAGTGGCGTGGCGTGCTTTGCGATGTATCGATTGTTATGCCATTTAAATCTATGGAGAAGGATCGATAAACAGGGTGTTCGCAGCGAACGCCTTAATAATCGATTCTTTACCATAGGTTTAAATGACATAGCAATCGATATATCGCAACCCACGCCACGTCCCTGCCCCTCACGCTCCCTCTCCTTTTCCTACATTTTTTCAAAACACATGCCGTTGACTTTTCAAAACATCGACGGTGAAACTACCAGACCATACGTATCTCGTTTGCGGTGTTTAAAAATCTCTGCTCCAAGTTTATTTTAGTAAAGGAAACCAAACCAATATCATTCCTTGAAGTTTTCATCGAGTTTTCTTCACTCACAGAGGAAAAATCACAGAAGTTTTCAAGGATTGACGTTGAGTAGTTTTTCATATAAAAAAGGAAGTATACACTGGAAAAAAAACACATTGGATCTAGAGTCCAGACTCTTAAAAACATCGACAAGAAGAAGTAGTCTTGATTCAATTAGAATCTAGCTTAAATCAAGAACCAAGCCTAACTTAAGCGGATTTCGTTTTGATTCAAGCAAAAATCCGATTGAATCAAGAGTATTTTTTCTTGTCAATGTTTTCAAGAGTCTGGACTCTAGATCCAATGTGTTTTTCTTTCCAGTGTATAACAGGAAGTCTGTCTGAATTGAGATACGTGTTCTGGTAGTTTCACCGTCAATATTTGCAAAAGTGAACATTAATCGCGTTGAAATCTTAGGAAAGTGGGTACCAGGTAACGGCGTGTGATATGACAGGTGCATAAATGGAAAAACTTCACTACTTAAAAACATGCGTTCAAAATATCCTTTGGTTGAAGAGGAAATATTCTGTGAATTATGCGTTACTCCAACATGACTATTAAGACTAACTTGATTTCTTAGTGTTCTCATTTTCCTTTCATTTGTTGCAGGATATCGATCCTAGGATTTTATGACATTAACTCCCGGAAAAACGTTGGAACAGAATAAATAATCTTCCGTCCTATAAGGTGAGTGTCTAGCTTTTTCCATTCCTAATCAAAATTCAAATGGACTACATTTTGTAATTAGGAACTACAATTTCTGGCTCACTTAAAAAAACACATATACGTCTCTGGGCCAGAAATTGTAGCTCCGAATTTCAAAATGTAGTCCGAATAGAAGAAGTTACAAAGTTTAAGAAACGCAGATCCGTCTGTTATGTGTTCAGGGTTTAAACTTTTCCCAGAATTTATATGACCATGAACATCGGATAAGAGAAACTGTTCAAAATCTGAAAGTTCAAAAGGTGTGTTATCACCGATTTTTCCCAGTCGATCCGCAAGAATCGGCTCCTCTGAAAAAACATCTGAAATGACATTGCTGTCAACAGTTTAGAGACTGGGGTGTAAGATATCATCACCCAACTTGGCTGAAACAAATTGAAGGGGATAAAATTGAAAAATGAATTGAAAATGAATAATTACGAGTGAGAATCGCAGGAGGAAGGTAGAGTTTGAGCTTGTAGTCGGTGTAAGGCTGGAAGGGCTGAAATGAGGATGGGGAAGTGGAGGCGCGCCACACACTGGATCGAGTCGAGGGAAAGGTCGGACAAAATTTGGAAACTTTAAACGCTCATAACTCCGTTTATACAAAACTTTGAGGTTCTAAAAGTGGTATCATTGGTTCCCTCGTGAAATTTTCGTCCAGAATCGCCCCTTCAAATTTAGAATGTGTCGAAATTAACTTAAAAATTTGCAGTTTTAGTCAAGAATTTCATGTCCGATTTCTCCGATCGACTCGATCCACTGTGCGCCGTTTCGTCTTTATTATTTTAGGAATGAAGCTGAAATCCTTTCGGTTTGGGTGTGGCTTTTACAGCTGCAGCTCGGAGGAACCTCGTGGCGCCCGCTTTTATTATGATTAAAAAGCTGAATTTCTTCTATCGGGTGGGTCAATCCAGGAGCAGCTCCCCTTCTCGCAGCGCGCGGAAATATATCTGGGTGACATAAACGTTTTTCACTATTTTTAAATAATTAATACCTTGACGGCGGGGCTCGGCTCGGCGCGGAACGCTTGTTCCTCGCCGCATTTATTCGGCGGCGAATCCCAATCCCAGACCCGGAGCCTATACAGGGTGATCCACAAGTCCCGCACAACCACCTCCCAAGTTGCAGTGATCGCGATGAGTCGCGATTTGATCGGAGAACTCAAAGCGATTTTGTCGACGTCGATTTATTACAATATTAGCGAATGAGAACTTGTACATCACATACATTCTCAATTAAATCACGATTTTATCGACAGCGATTTATCGCAATGCTATCGAACAAAAAATCCGAATAAATTGGGATAAAATTTCGACTTTATCGAACGCGATTTTATAGAGATCAAATCGCGACATGAACGAGGATAATCGCTCAGATGTCGATCCTAGCGATTTTATCGCCAAAAATTCGTAACTTAATATAAAAATACCGCGATTTTTTCCGTTGATAAATGCTACTAGGACACCAGTCCTGTAACTGGTGAAAAAATGAAGATAGATACTTAAAATTTTGTGAGTGCTCCTGGGTTAAAGGAAACGAATTCTGGGAACGGTGGGACCTCTGGATCACCCTGTGGATGAAGGGCAATCTTTTTTCCCTCAGAATTCTTCTCCTGTTTCCGCGCCATTCTCAGTTTTCATCCCTAAACTTACAGATTGGGGGCAGAACTGTCAGATCTAACTGGGAGAATTAGTTTCTTAAATGAGACTACATACTCTTAGCACTGTTTTCAAACCTTATTGCGATTCTGCGCGCGTATGTATCAAAAGATCAAATGGACAGCATTTTGCAATGTGGAACTATAATTTCTGGCTCTTCGGAGAAAAAACTTATGTGCATAGGGAAACTGATGGCACATACATTATTTTCAAACCGGGCTAGGATTTATAGTTCTAAATTGCAAAATTTAGTCCAAATGTTTAATGAATCAGTTCCCCAGTTAGCGGCGAGCAAACACAAGAATCAATTTGAACATCTGTTAACTCTAATTTCCCGACACTGGAAGTCTCACTCATATCAATAGTCGATACCTTGATACTCAAAGCTACAGAGAAGACCCTAGAAACATTTTTACAAAGAATTAATGATTTCTTCATATCGAGCTTGACATGGACGATTCTAATGGCTGAGATATTATAAGGTTAAGCTTTTACCGGTTCTCTTTCCTCCTCTTTTTTTCTCATTGAACAGCTTCTATCTCATCAGAAATATCAACATAGTGATATCAGCAGCTGCATCATTTTTTTTTTTTTTTTTTTTTTTTTTTTTTTTTTTTTTTTTTTTTTTTTTNTTTTTTTTTTTTTTTTACGCTTTTCAGAATTTATAGAGTTAAGATCAAATTAATGTGAAGGCCATGATTTTCTCAAACTTTCCTTTATTATTCGATTTTTCAATAATTTGAACAAAGGATGTAGCCATCTATTCCTCTCTTATAACAGTGTCTGTTTACTTTACTGGAGTCAACTTATATTGTCAAAGGTATCTAAATAAAAAAAATTAAAGAAGAACAATAATTAGAAATTAAGCTTCGATCATGACTTGCGTAAAAGAAAAAATGTTTCCTAAATTGAAGCTGAGATCACACACCTCTGCCGGCTTTACAACTCATCATTTCAGTCACTAAGGAAATGAGGGTGATACGATGGGGGGCTGATGGTAAATTATAGTGTCTGAGGGATAAGTTTATTGAAGTTATTGGTTTTATTCGTCAGCCTCGGACACAGTGGTCACCCCTGTGGTGCCACACTTCGGCAGTGCCGAAGCTTGCGATTGTCATTTTATTCTTTCTAACTCTGCTACAGCCGTGTATTGTCCGAGATTCAAAAAGGACAAACTAATGGTTCCATTGATTAAACTGTATCGGTTAGTACATCCACAATTGGACTACACTCTGCAATTAGGAGCTATATAAATTGTGGCTCAGTCTAGAGATACCTTATCAAGTTCATGCTTCATACAAGCAAATCTACTCTTGATTTAATAATTTTTTCCTCGTAATTCAAGAGAAATTCTTGGCGGCAAATACAAGAATATTTCTGCCTAATTTAACGAACATTTTCCCCAGTGTCGTTAGAAATCGTGTTTACATGAACCATCATTAGTTTCATGTTTTATTTTTATGCTCAATATGGCATCGGTGATGCCATGTCGCGTGCTGGTTTGTGACTAGCAGGGGCTAAACTTCGGATTGCACTTACACCCCGCGCTCATCTAGTAGTAGAGTTTGGAAAATACTATTATTCCCTGGTAGAGGTTTTATCTAATTGTCCAGATTTTGTCGACTGTCCTCTCTCGCCCCCTTTCTTCCCATTTTTGCTTTCGATCTCCATTTGTCATCATTCCCGAAGCTGTCAGACTGTTACAAGGGGAGAAAGCTTCCCTCAAGGAGGGTATAGTTGTGGTCTCGTCAAGATGCAAGTAGTTCATGCATCAGAGAGGGTGAGATTTTTAGAACCGTCTACCGCTTTGATCAAGATCCACTCGGTCCAGTGGCGATTCTTGAAATTTGGCAGCACTGTTTTTACTTCGTTTAAATGTAGGCAAAACAATCGATTCTTGGTAAGTCACCTTACCCCACCCAAAATTTTCGTTGGATTTAAATGGAAGAAAAACAGTGTTGGTGACTTGCAAAATCGCCACTGTTCTGGCCATTTTACTGAAGAAATATGAACAGTATAGTTAACCTTTCGACCCATCCCGATCATTGGTTCGTAATGGCAATACCAAAATGCTATGGAGCAAATCGAAATCTGATGAATTAATTGATGGATGTAAAAAGAGACGCTTGTGAAACTTCAAATAATTAGAGTGAACCTTAAATCGCAGGTAGGAAGCAATGACCTATCATCTCCCTCTATTTTTGAAAAACTCTCGACTGCTTCATTGAATATTTTGAGAATTGCCGATCCTCTGAAAACTGCACACACGATTCCGCGGAAAGATTGGCAATTCAAAATTGTTCTCGGGAATATATCATGGCAGTTCCTCTCGGAGTGGGTTTTTATAGCTTGGTGTTCGGTACCATCATTGATTCAGAAGCGTATTTTCGCAACGTTATTAGTCGTTAATAAATAGTTCACATTTACGTTAGTATAATGTTACATGCCCATACTCTTCTAATTCGAAATCCAACTACCATAAATTAAGTACCGAAAAAATGAAAAAAAGTTAGCAGCTGCACGTATCTTATCATCTCGGTAGCTTAGAATATTTTTGAACTTGTCGTCGGAATCAACCGTTGTAAAATTTACCCTCGAACTGGAAAGATTTTTGCAGGCGCAATGAAATTTTCTGAGGTGTATAATTTATCTTTCGCTTACAGTTGGTTCAGGGCGGTTTTTCGGGAAGCCTTTGTCTTGAATGTTCGTGAAATATTGTTGAATGAGTCTTTCTATCTATCTCAATTTTTAGAAGCTTATCTCGCGGGATGTGACGGCCAGACTAATGGAAGAGTTAATTAATCTCCGGGAAACGGGAGAAATGATTGAAATTAGCAAGAAAATGGGAGGGAGCGAATTCACCTAGCTTGGAGGTGCGATTGAAGCCGTCGAACAAATGACGCTAAGCTCAATGTTGTCAAAAGATGGCGGAAAAATGTTGAAGTAAGAGAGAAATTGGTATAATTTCTCACCCTCCTCTGGTAACGATGACGTTACTGTTGGGGTGATCGAGACAGAGGGAGAGGCGTTGATGTTAATTTACCGCTGAGATAACCTCAGTAGTTGTTTTCCGTGATTAAAATGAAAATGTATCGATCATTTTTCCACCCTCTTGCCGTTTTAACTTACTTGTCTCGTGTCACTCTCTCCTCGTTTAAAATGATCTAGGCTCAATTATTCCAGATCCTCCTCTTAAACATCTCGCTTCCAACATAATTAGCTCACCAAACGACATAAGCACTTACTTTCGATAACCCTCTCCTCCAGTCGTCCATGTCCCTGCGTTCTTACTTATTTAATATCACAGTATATCCATGGCTTAGA